TAGAGCCTTTCATTCTCCAGATGCCTATGATGACTATTACATTTATTTGTTGATATATCTATTGCCTTGTCTTCCTTATAGGTACAGAGTCCATACATCCTAATTGGCCTGGAACTTCCCAGGTCTATGTCTGTTATACCAGTGTAATTATGAATAGCATTGCCCTTCATTCTAAAAAGTGTTCTGGTTTGAATGCTAAATCATCTAGACACCCTACTTATGAGAGGGTTCACTGTACATCATTTAGTTGCCCAACTCCCCACCCCTTGGAAATCTGAGTACTACCCTCTACTGGGGGCTTTCCTCTATGGAGGCAGCTCTCTCAATCACAGCATTCAGGAAGTGTGAGCCCACTCCCAAAAGAACAGACAGCTGTCTACAGAGAGACTCTTGGTAGAAGACAAAAAAAATCACTTCAGTAAGTTTAAGTCTTCCCTTTAAACTTGGGTCTCTTTTGCACATAAGAAAAAAAGAATCTAATAACTGCGTCCCTAAATATACTGAAATCTAGAAGACATGCCCATTTGAAAACTCTAATCTAGTAATTAAAGCTTCTCAGGTTTAACTGCACCTTAATAATGTAGCTTATTTTGTCAAGATCAGTTAAGGCCCTGTAATGTGATTTGGAATAAATGGACAGACAGAAATTAAAATGTGCTGGACAAGGTAATCAGAAATCTCACTTCATTCAGTCAATAACAATGGCAATTCAGCGGGTTCCTTTTACTACTGGGATGTAATTGTGCTTGGCTTTAATTTCTTGTAATGATGGAACAAATTAAATTACTTCATACTTTTAGGAACATTTGGCTACATCATGTTTTGGCGCTTCCATAAACCCCACTGGAAATTAAATCAGCTCTGTGGTTGCTCATTCTCCCTCTTTAGTGCCATGTCTGCCTCCTGTCAGCAAAATGGTAATATTGTCTACCTTAATCCACCAGATGCAGTTGAGTTAAAAGAAATTACCTCCCCCGCCTCTCTCCTTTCAAATCTCCCTATTTGTAGCTATCAAATTTTGGCATGCCTGCTGGAACACAGTCTTGTTAGAACAAGCACAGTAATTCTCTCATGAGACTTTAGGACTCTCTCTACGACAAGGTCAGAATGTACCGTGATTCAAATTTAGATGAGGATATGAGTTGGTAAGAACATGAAGAGCATCAGACAGTTTTCAGGACTCCCACTACTTATTTTGTGCTATCAGTTTTTCCTTTCCCAAATTGCAGGTGGAGATGCAAGCTTTGAGGCTGGAAATCTATTGCTATATGCCATTAAAATTAATTAGCCTAGCACATTTTATCTTTAGGCCCTTACCTAGTGCAGGTAAAATATTGTAGCACAAAATAACACAACTTTGCCGGGCGTGGTGGCTCACGCCTGTAATCCCAGCACTTTGGGAGGCCGAGGTGGGTGGATCACGAGGTCAGGAGATCGAGACCATCCTGACTAACACGGTGAAACCCTGTCTCTACTAAAAATACAAAAAATTAGCAGGGCGTGGTGGCGGGCACCTGTAGTCCCAACTACTCCGGAGGCTGTGGCAGGAGAATAGCGTGAACCTGGGAGGCGGAGCTTGTAGTGAGCCGAGATTGCGCCACTGCACTCTAGCCTGGGCAACAGAGAGAAACTATGTCTCAGAAATAAATAAATAAATAACACAACTTTCCTGAACACTGTAGCTACTAAGTTCATATGGTAAAAGATTATACTATATATTATATTGCAAATAGTGTTGCAGACTGATACTAAATATTTAAAATGCATCATTATTAATAGGCAACACTGTGGCCGAGATTGCTAACTGTCCCCTAATATTGATGCTTTTCTTTATCCATTGTTTTCAAATACCAATTTTCATGTAAACATGTGACTGCCCAAAGTAGAGAAAATTCACAGCCTCCTTGGTTGTCAGGTGTTGCCATATAACTAAGTTTTGGTGTATGTCTTGGTAGTAGAAGTGTTATGTAGATGTTATGTAGATGTGCTAGAAACTTAAAAGACACTTGTCAGCTATCTTTTTATCTGCCTGTATTTATTGTTTTCTCTTTCCTACTGGCTAGAATGTGAAGTTGATGGCTGGAGTTGGAGCAGCCATATTGGACGGTGGGTTGAATTTAGCAACAAAGGCCACACCTCACAGTGCAATAACATGGAAAGAGCATGTGTCCTTGAAAACTGTACTGGATAGAGTTGCCATCTTAACTTTGGATTGCCTACTTTCAGATTTTACATGAAAGAGAAATATCTATCTTGCTGAAGCCACTTCTATTTTAAATCTCTCTATTTACTGCTGAATAAAATCCCAACTAGTGCAAACAATAACAAAAAATTCATATTCACTCATGATATAGGACTATACCATAGTCTTTTTTGTGTCATATATCTGTTCATTCACCATTTTTGCTTTGATGTTCAATAAACATCTCAAATCTAATATATCTATTAAAATTTTTTAAATTTTGGACTCAGAAGTACGTGTGCAGGTTAGTCATATAGGTAAATTGCATGTCATGGAGTGCTGGTGTACAGATTATTCCACACTGAGGTAATAAGCACAGTACCCCTATAGCTTAGTCTTAAGAAGTAGTATGTTCACATAGACCAGGCTGAGATTTGGATGCTGGATGACTTTCTTCCAGCTTACTCTGATTTGAATATATTGTGTGGTAGTAGATGGCTAAACCGCTTGCTCCAAAACTATCTGACAACGCTTTTTAGAAAACGTGCCAAACAAAACTACAAGAATCACCCTGGAGCTTCCTTGAGGCTTCAGATATTTGTTTTCCCTGCCCTACTTGGAAATCATTCCAGCCTGGAAGTCACTGTGATGAACCAAAAAATGGTCTCCCTACCATGAAGAATAACACTGTTTCCATTGCTGGGAGGCTCTCCTTCCCGCAGGCACTCTCCCTCACTCATTAGACACTTGAATGATAAGGAAGTTCATATATTTATTGGTGTTTCTATCATTTAGACAGTTGAATGTTACGAATGTTCATATATTTCTTCTTATTCAATAGTTTCACAAAAACACTATTCTTGTAAAGTCATTAAAAACTGGAGGGCCTTTTCATAATTATTTCCATGATTTGTCATCTAAAGTCAATGTTCTCTCCTCCTGTCTGTCTAATAGCTTTAAAGCTAAGTTCTGGTGGATCCAAGACATGCCTGAAAGGTTTATCAAATGACATACTGCAGTCACATGGTCGGAGCACAAACACCTCTGAATGTACAATATTTTAAAGCAAAACAGTTTATGTGTAAGCTCTATGATGTTACAGACCATGGCTTTCTTATTTATTACCAAATCCCCAGCTCCTAGAACAGTGCCCCTCAATATAAATCTGTCAAATGAATAAATGAAGAGTTTGCCTGCAGTAGTAAACTTGTTATTTGCACACACTTCAGGCCCACTTCTATGTGTACATTGTCAATGAGTCAGCCTTGTGGATGTCTTTGCAGGACTATCTGTATAATATCCACCACAGTTACCAGGGAACCCACTTTTCATAAATTGCTCCAGCATCACACACCCTCTTACAGAGATTCTTCCTGTCCATTCTAATCCCTGACACATTGTCATCCTCACTCGGATTCCCCGATGCATAGAAATACTGTTAAATATACTTGGGTAGACAGGGATAGGCATGCCCAAACTCAACTCCTTTTGGGAAAAAATATTGCAACTTTCAGAAATGTGTTAGCTATCTGCACAGATTATGAAACATAAATATCAATTATCTGTTCACAGCAGTGAAAGCCTGCATTTTTTTTTTAAAGATAGCAAGTATAAAATGGCTATAAGTACCATATTGAGTAGATACCTACCACTACCTATTTCAGTGAAGGGATGGTTGTGTTGCAGGGTCAGAATGATTACTCACTGGTTGACACTCCCTCCAGGACTAAAGGCAGCATCACCAGTGTCCACTCTACTTCTCCACTGCTTACTGTTAAGGAGCAAGGCAATGGCATTATCTAAGTAGGAACTACTTCAATCTTTCAAAACCTGGAATTTGCTGATCACAAGAAGAAAAACAGTATAAAAACACAGAAAGACAAGATTCTCTGACTGTCCTAATGAATGCTAGCTAGTTATAATAGCATGGATAAGACACATAACCAAACATATAAGATCTATTACTTAAGGGGAATCTCTATTTATATTAACTCCTCTACTTTCTCTCAAACCAGTATTTAGTTATCTCTTATACATTGGCATATTGTCTATATTTGGAAAATTCAAAATATTAGTGATGTGACTTTTTTCCCTCAGACATCTGAGCTATCCCTCAACTAATAGTTGACCTGTTCTTCTATAGCTCAGTATCTGAGTTAGAACTCGAAGTAAAAAGGTATAAATAAGTCATGCTATAAAATTCAAAGGCAATCAGATGTTTGAGACTATAGTTATACAGAAAAGTGTCCTTGTTCTTGGGAGGACTACATCGAGGAGTTTAGGGATGGAAGGTCATGATGTGTGCAGTTTTCTCTCAGGTGGTTCAGAGAAAAAAAAAACAATGTGTGTGTATGTGTATGTGTGTGTATGTGTATGTGTGTGTATGTGCACATGGAGTGATACTGCAAATGAGGTGGAATGTTTACAATGAGTGAATGCATGTGGGGTTTTTTTGCACTACCCATGAAGCTTTCCAGTGTGTCTGAAATAACTTCCAAATAAAACTTTTTTTAAAAGGCAATCAGAACAGTGGCAATGAATAATTCAATTATTTCATATTTGAGCTGTCTTTCCTGCCACCCCCACCCCCCATAACACTACATACATACATAGACTCACATAAGTGACACTTACTGTACTTTTTTGCCTATGTAATGAGTGTTGGCGAAGTATGTGAGTGGGAAATTCAGCCTTCTGCATTCAAGATCTAAGTAATTCTAAGAGACCTTTTAGATAATGATTTGACTTAAGACAACAATTTTGAGGTTATAATATGATGTCATTTCTTATAAACAGAACTGCCCTTTTGTCCTTTCAGATCTGATTGAAAATGGCCCATGGAGTACAACCACCTGGGAACATATTCTTGAGAAAGACAGTTGAGGCTTATTGCCTAAACCACAGGCTACTGAAAACTTGGCCAAAGGCGACTACTCTAGACTGGTGACTTCAAAAGTGCTGATGAATACAGTGAACTGTGAAAGATGCATGATTTGTTTTGAACATTTTACTATGATTGATGACCCAGATTTGGCAAGTTAGTTCACTCCCAGTGGAGATGGAAGTTTCACTGCCTTCTTTCTTTCAACATTCTTGTTGAGACAGATTTCACTTTTATTGGCCAATGTACTAACAAATCACTTGCATTTGCAGCATAATGAATTCATTAGCAACACTGTGGATCAATGCTGTACATAATATTCCTGAGTCAACATTAACTCTTAATTAAATTTCCATAGTATAATGCCTCTGGAAATTTTCCTTCAGGCTACTAAACTTCAAGCCAACAGTCTAAGTGTTAATCAGTAATCATGTTAGTAACTTTTTGAGATGGGTCAGGGCCAGGGCCAGAGTCAGTGATCCATCATGAATGGCAGGTTTAAAAATGAATATATGTGATCAAAAATACCCAAAAATTGACTCAAAGCATTCTATCCTTTGGGTTATTCTAACACTCAGTGTATCAGCCTTCTGAGCAAGCCAATTTTTTATTGCCTTAAAAAGTCTAAAAGAAAAGATAAAAACAGAGATAATCAGTTTTGTTTGGCAATGGCGGGGGTGTGGGAAATGAAAAAGAAGAAAGTTAAAGATGAGTGAAAATAGGATAGTCTTGGCACTTTAGTATGAAATTGAAGTACTTATTTAAACTGATGAATATTGTACAGAAATATACAAAGAGCAGTGAGGGGCCAAGAACCTAATTCCAAGGTAACTACAAGGAAGAGATTTATTGATCTGGATCGTGCCAAAATTCAAGAGTTTGACTGTTGTCATTGTTGCTGTTGTTATTAAGTTTTAAAAAATGAGAAAAAACATAGGTTTTTCTATTGTACTTATCAGGAAAGGAAAGAGAGAAGGAGGGTGACATGGAGGGGGCGGAGGGAGAGAGAGAGACAAAGACACTGACAAAGTCTGGAAAAAGATACAAATTCAGATTTAAGATCCCAAAATATGCTACATTTCTGCCCCCTTCAAAATATTAAACTTTGCTAAAATACACTGGATTTTTTTTTATTGTTTAGTTTTTAAATCAACTAGCAGGCCAATTAGCCAAGATGACATTCTCATCCTTGGTACTCTTTCAGGTGAGCTCTGTGGGCTCCCATCAGAAAGTCCTAGCCAACCAAGCTCTCACTGGACCACTTTGTGCTCAGTAGACTGCATAGTCTCCTAAAATAAACCACACAGCCCTGATGCTGGTCCTGCCAAAGTGTGGTTTGCTGTCATGTCCTATAGGCTACCCGTTTCCCAGTGATTTATCATAATAAACCAAATGGGAATGAAATAACCAGAAATATGCCATAAATCTACTAGTGGTGAATTTTCAATATTCTGCACACCATGCTGATTTGTTAATTCAGTTGGATCTCTATTAATCCTCTCTAAAATGTCATTAAACCATCTGTTTTGACTTGTTAATCAAACCACTTTAAAAAATGTATTTAGAGTATCAGTAACCCTTGAATTAATGCATCCATAAGTAATAATCCCCTCTCCAACTTTAGATTTATTTTTAAGCTCTAGCTTTTTTTCTACCATTCCAACAAATAGCCTGACTTCCAAAAGTAAGAATCACTTCAGTTGTAGAAATGTCCAGAGGGTGCCCTACTTTCAAAACAGGAAGCAAATTGATCCAGCAGTCCCACTTCTTGGTATATAGCCAAAAGAACTGAAATTTGGATCTTGAAGAGATATTTTCACTGCAGCATATTCGTAATAGCTAAGATACAGAAGCAACCTAAATGTCCATCAACAGATGAATGGACAAAGGAAATGTGGTATATACATACAATGAAATATTATTCAGCCCTAAAAAAGGAAGGAAATCCTATCATTTACAACAAGTTGGATGGAACTGGAGGACATCATGCTAAGTGGAATAAACCAGACACAGAAACACAAATACTGCATGTCTCACTTACATGTATAATCCAAAATAGTCAAACTGATGAAAGTATAAAGTAGAATGGTGGTTGCCAGGAGCTGGGGGAAGATGGAAATTGGTAGATGTGGTCAAGGGTTACAAAGTTTTAGTCTTGCAAAATAAGTTCTGGAGAGCTGCTATATAACATAAGTATACAATCAACAATACTATATTGTATACTTAGAAATTTGGTAAAAGGGTGGATGTTATATTAACTGTTCTTACCATGAAAGGAAAACAAAACAAAACAAAACAAAACCAAAAAGGTGGGAGGAACCTTTTGGAGGCAATAAATAAGTTTATGACATTGATTGTAATGGTGGTTTTAGGGTGTATACCTATCTCCAAACATCTTGCAGAATAAACATCTTAAATCTAAAGCTTCCTTGGGAAAGAAGATAATAAAATAATTGTCAAGAGACTGTACATCAATAAAATAGTCAAGGGGTACAGTGAAAACTTAGGAATCCCGTTTCTTCCTTTGACTCACACTGTTTGATCATATCATTCAAGTCAGCATTTGGAAGTTATTGAGACATTTCAACATAAGATTGTCCTTATGATCTATGATTTGGGACTCTCTTATAAGAAAGTCCATTTTATACCAATTTGTTTTGTTCCTTGGTAACTAGACCTTTTTAAATTGGATCTAAGAATTAATATTCTTATCTCATAAAGAAGACCAAAAGGATCCAAGTAGATGGAGTTCAAAGGTAGTCCCCATTAAAGCATCTTTACCTTAAGCAAAGATGTCCCAATTTTTCGTGCTTGTTTTTCAGATGCTGTTCTAAAAAAATGTACCTTATTCCTTCTACTAAAAGAAAACCTATCAATTCATTGATTCATTGAACAAATACTTATTGAACATATAGTATGTACTAAACACTGGGTAAAATTCCAGATAGATATGCAAAGAGGAATAAGTAAGCCCCTGCCCTTAAGAAAACTCACAGTCTGGTCAAGCTAACAAACAATTCTAGAGCAACTGTGTGATAAGGGCTCTGACAGCACATGCAGGAATGCAGAGAGAGGCACCCTTGGTCTTGGAGGGGCTTCCCAGAGTGGGCGATTTTTGATGTGTCACAAAAGGAGGAGCTATTAGGGCACAGAGAAGAGCAAGAGTGAAGTGCGGAAAGGAGTGAATAGATGGGGAGGGGACCCAGGCAAAGAGAATGACATAGGCAAAGGTGCAACATCATGGGAACACAGTACATTTGGAAGCCTGTCCACCATTTGTTACAGCAGAGAGTGCATGTGTGGGTGGAGATGAGGCTGCAGAGATGGGCTAGAGAGGATTATGAGAGATGAATGACTAGCAAAGGAGGTTGGTCATGTCCTTATGTGGTAGGGGACCATGGAAAGATTTTTATTTGTAAGACATGGTTTCTTCTTCATTCTATGGCAAATAGCAGATACTATGGTCTGAATGTTTGTGTCTCTTCCCACATTCATATGAGGTGAAACCTCGTCACCAACGTGATGGTATTAGGAGGTGGGGCCTTTGGGAGATAATTAGGTCATGAGGGCACAGCCCTCATAAGGGGATTAGTGGCTTATAAAGGAGGCCCAAGAGAGCTGCCTTGCCCCTTCTACCATGTGAGGACAAAGCCAGAGGCACTATGACCCAGGAAATGAGCCCTCACCAGATACTGAGTCTACCAGTGCCTTGACCTTGGACATTCTAGTCTCCAGAACTGTGAGAAATAAATTTCTGTTGTTTATCGGCCGCCCAGCTTATGATTTTTCATTTTATTTATTTATTTATTCATTCATTCATTCATTCATTCATTCATTCATTCATTCATTCATTCTTTTTGAGACAGAGGTTTGCTCTGTCACTCAGGCTGGATTTCAGTGGCATGATCTCAGATCACTGCAACCTCTCCTTCCCAGGTGCAAGTGATTTTAGTGCCTCAGCCTCCTGAGTTGCTGGGATTACAGGTGCTTGTGACCACACCTGGCTGATTTTTGTATTTTTAGTAGAGATTGGGTTTCATCATGTTGCCCAGGCTCGTCTGAAACTCCTGACCTCAAGTGATCTGCCCACCTCAGCCTCCCAAAGTGCTGGCATTACAGGCATGAGCCACTGTGCCTAACTATGATATTTTGTTACAGCAGCTTGAATGGACTAAGACAGAAGAAAAAAATAGGTCTTTCTGGAGAGTGGGCTGAAAGAAAATAGCTGTAGGTTTCTAAAGAGAGAAAAAGATACATGTTTGACAGTATGTTTCAATTAGTACTTGTTTTGAAATGCAGTAAATTATCGTATACCTTATTCCATTTCTAATCTATATGATGGCATTTAAATATTGACTAGGTTTCTGATGCAATTTTTGGAGTCTGAATGTCACTGCATGGATGAATAAACCAAACAGATTGGATTCATATGGGTTTGCCAAATGACAATTTTTTTTCCACGTAAGATTACAGGAAAAATTGATTTCACTCAACTTCCTGCCTTATTTGTATCAGAACTGAAGTCAGTGCTGTTATCCCTTTGCATGTTCTTTTGTATTTAAAATCTGATACAGAATTGTGCTGTTACAGAAGAAATAATTTAATGCATTCTGCCCTCTTATTTCTCATGAGTTTTCATTTAAAAACAAAACAAAACAAAAGGACATGGATTTTTCTTTATTTCTAGACTTTATAAACTTTTTACTTATTAAATAAACACGTGTTAATTTAGTAGGTAAAATATTGCATATATTAAAAGATACTTAGAGACTCTTATGTTGTCAGTTTTTCATGACTCAAAATTTATGAAAACCATCTAAGACTATCAAAATGAAATTCAACTGTAGACCTTGAATTGACAAAACATGAACCACATTGACTTGAGGTCCAGGGCTTAAAACTGCCTATTTGAACTCTAGGTTAAAAAGCATGTGTAAAATGCAAAGTCTGACATCTGTACAACTGACTATTGTGAAGTCTCAGTATCATTGTTCATAAGTAAAGCTTGCCCCTAAGACATACCATAAGCATTCCCAGAGGATACAGATTTCATTTAACATGATTGTTGATATTGGTAGTGTATTTCACGTGAACTTATGAAATCAATGTCTACACAGACAATTTAGACACTGAAACTTTTTTAAAGTATTGTTTTGTTAGGGGCTAGATCTGAATTTTTTTATTCATTTGCTCTTTTGTTCACTCATTTGTTAGTTCAGTTATTTACTCAAAAATGTATATTGAGCAATTTCTATATGGCAGACACTGACAGATGCTGGATTCAGTGATGTGCAAAGCATTCGTGGTTTCTATGCCCAAGGATCCTATCCTGTGGAGTGTAGAGTCAAACAAAGAATGTCAAC